GTTGCCAGGTGCCAGGCTGGAGTGCCAGTGGCACGATCTCAGCTCACTGCAGCCTCTGCCTCCTGGGTTCAAGCAATTCTCCTGCCTCAGCCTCCCGAGTAGCTGGGACTACAGGCACATGCCACCATGCCCAGCTAATTTTTGTATTTTTAGTAGAGACGGGTTTGACCATGTTGGCCAGGATGGTCTTGATCTCTTGAAGTCGTGATCCGCCCGCCTCGGCCTCCCAAAGTGCTGGGATTACAGGCGTGAGCTACCACGCCTGGCCTGCCTGTTGCTTTTTTAATAGTTGCAGACTGTTTTTTAGTTTCTCATGGGAGAAGAAAAGTGCAGAGACTGCACAGTTGATAATGACTGGCTTGCGAGGGGGATGGCCTGGGGAGCACCTGAGGAAGGGACTGTGTCTCATTCATTTGACATCCCGTTGCATGCATGATTTCCCTTCTGTATCAGAGAGGTGACCACCAAATATTTGATGCATAATTGGGTGCATGAGTACCGGCCATCAGAGCGTTTCAGATTGGCTTTCCTTCCTCTTCATTTATTTATCTAAAAGTGTTTGCGAAAGACTGTGGTTTTTGCAGTGGTGTTAAGTATGTAGGTCAATATTTTAATTTAATTATTTACATAAATTTTTTCCTCATGGGGAATGTAAAATTAACGAATGAAGGAAGCAAGGAGGTTTATCCCAACAAAAATACTGAATTTTTTCAAAAAAAAGTACGTGACCTTCAAATGAATTCACCTCTTCTCAGCAGAACCTCTTTGCAAGGTGTTCAGTACCCATGCCATATTGGCTTATTTTATTTTTTTGAGACAGTTTCTCACTGTCACTCAGGCTGGAGTGCAGTGATATGATCTCGACTCACTTCAGCCTCTGCCTAATGGGTTCGAGTGATTCTCATGCCTCAGCTTCCCAAGTAGTGAAGACCACAGGCTTATGCCACCATGCCCAGCTAATTTATGTATTTTTAGTAGAGACGGGTTTCACTATGTTGGCCAGTCTGGTCTTGAACTCTTGACCTCAAATGTTCCATTCACCTTTGACTCTTAAAGTGCTGGGATTACAGGCATGAGCCACCAGGCCCAGCACATATTGTTTATTAATTGCTTCAGTGGTGCTGCATCTTAATTTTTATTGATTTTGATCTTTGGAGGTAATAAAACCAAACTTTTTTTGAGCCAGAACTGCTTTACATAGTGACTGAACCAGCAGTGAAATACACTTTGGTTATTAGAAAGAAATTTTTTTTTATTCGTCTCATACTTGACTCTGAAAGCCATTATAAAATAGAAGTTCCAAATGCATATAGAGCACTGTATTGGACTAGTGCAGGCACCTCTTGAAAGAACCACTTTATCTGTATAGTTTCTGACTTGTTGTTTTATTTTCATAAATGAAGAAAAGCAGCCAAATTGGAATATGCTGCCTTCTCCTGTTGTATAGTCATGCCCTGGAATATTTTAGTCACAGCAGTCAGGACTCCCAGGTCATCCATATTACCAAGCCTCATCCCATGCTGTTGTTGATACTCTCTAAATCTGACTCAGGCCCTCATCTCTCTCCATTTTCAAGCCTTTCCATTCAGGCTCTGTAAAAATATCAGGCCCCTTTCTTCCAGTAGTGTTCTCTCAAGTTCCTTTGATTTCCTTGTCTGGAAGGAAACCAGGTGACTCCTCTTGTTGGATTACCCCAGCAGCTTTCCTTATCCTTGGTGGTTTTCCCTCTCACTCTTGTTTTCCTCTGGCCAAACTGTGCTCGGGGTCCTCTTGTTTCCCCACGCCACCTTCACACACCTGAATTTTCTTTTATACGGGAGCCGCCATTCTCAGGGCTGTCACCAGCTCTGCAGCCCCTCTCTGTGCTGACTCCTGTAAGTGCATTGTGCATCATAGCCTTGGCTTTGGTGCATTATCATTCTCTCCACCCCTACCCCTCTCTGGGTGACTTCAGTATCCACAAGGATAAGCAGCAAATGCTCTGGTCTGTTTCTTGACCAGGTGGTCAGCAGTCTTTTCTTCTCTCTCTCTTCAGTCCTCTATACCAATGGCAGTGTCATGGGTCTTAAAGTCAAAAGCTGCACCTCTCGCTTATGATCTGTTTTTTTTCTGTTTTGAGACAGGGTGTCACTTTGTCACCAGGCTGTACTGCACTGGCACATTCACGGCTTATTGCAGTCTTGACCTCCAGGGCTCAAGCGATTCTCCCACCTCAGCCTTCTGTGTAGGTGAGACCATAGGTGCATACCTTCATGCCCAGCTAATTTTTACATTTTTGGAGAGATGGTCTCACTATATTGTCCAGGCTGGTCTCAAACTCCTGGTCTCAAGCAGTATTCCTGTTACAGGCCCCTAAACCTCTAGGATTATAGGCATGAGCTGTTGTTCCTGGCCTCATTTGTTGACTTTAGTGTTTTAATATTTCTTCCTTTGAGAGCACTACTTCTTGTACGTATAACTCACTTGCTGTAGTACCTATTTCAGCAATCTGTTGACTTCCATTGCTGTTTCACTATTTGTTGCCTTCCTTGCTTCTCCTCTGTCTGTATCCATCTCAGTGTATCATACCATGAGGCACATTTGTCATTTGTCTCATTACTGGTGATGTTAACTTGGACCATGTTTTTTGCCAGTTAATTTTAGCGTTCATTGAGAATTCTTGCTTCAGGCAATTATTATTGACGAATGGTGGTTTTCATGTTCATCGTTCTTTCTAAAATTCTTGAGTGTCCCATGGCTTTGTTGTTGTTTTGAGGTGGAGTCTTACCCTGTCGCCCAGGCTGGAGTGTAGCGGCCTGATCATGGCTCACTGTAACCTCCACCTCCCAGTTTCACTTGATTTTCCCACCTCAGCCTCCTGAGTAGCTGGGACTACAGGCGTGTGTCACCATGGCTGGCTGATTTTTGTACTTTGTGGTAAAGGGGATTTCACCTTGCTGGGCAGGCTGATCTTAAACTCCTGACCTTTTAAGTGATCTGCCTTCCTTGGCCTC